CACAGTTAAACCAGAATGTGCCCGCTAAGATCATAGTTACCTTGGCCATCATCTGGTTTGAAAACATGATCAAACCTAAACTGTTTCCTAGAAGAATCAGAGGAGACAATTTGTATCTCATTTTCATGAGACAAATCAAAGTCAACCACAGATGATGAACCATTTGCAACTTCATCAGGATTTAGTGGTCTGTATCTACAGAAAACTCGTATATTGCCTTTCAACTCAATCACTTCATTGTAGAGACGTTTTTTCTCAGTGCACTCATCAAGATATCTTTTCTTCAGAAGGTCATGCTCTTCTTCGAATTTCCTTTTAAGGAGTTCATGTTGCATACCTAAAACCAGCCAAAAGTGAGAATAATAATCAAACCAAAGAAATATATGAGCGAAAGGCATCGTAGAAAGTTCAAGAAAGCGGTCTATCAGAAAAGCAACATACCGAGATCCCGAAGAGAGCAGATAGCTTCAGAACCAGGGAAAGAATCTGGAGTGATACTCTTCACCTCATCACTCAGAGCCGCATGTTTTCTTCTCAAATCCTGGAAGGAAAATAGGGTTAGTAATGTGTGCAAAAGAAGATCCATTTCTATCAACAAACAAATCCAAACAGGCAGTGAAAAGCCTTACATGCACTTTAGCAGCCAGATCTTCAATTTTCTGAAAAATAGGAAGAGTTTGCTCTTGACATGATTTCTCTGTGGCTTCATTTGAACCACAACTGGAATCCAACAAAGCACCTATCGGCAGTGTTTCTGTATCAATTCCACAAATCAAGAGAGTTGAATAGCAGACGAGAGAGAGAAGAGAGAGTCTAAGGAGGCCAAGAATAGGGTTAAGAGGTGAGCATTTACAAGTTTTGGAAAATGGGAGATCTTTGATGGAAGGGAGGGGAGAACATACCTGCGGCGGATGGAGTTGCAGCTACCGGGAATGGGGAATCGCAGGGAATGAGTGGCGGCGACGGGGGAAGAAGAAACGAAGCTTGGCTATTGGAGATAAAGAAACGGGAATGGGAATCGCAGGGAATGAGAGAGGAAACCCGTATATAAGCTTCCAACGGCTAATCCAAAACTTAAAAGGGAAAGGGGATGAATCCTTTATATATATAAAGCAGAGTCGGAGCAAAAAGAAAACCCGTATAAATAAATTTGGAAAATAATAATATTAAAAATTACAGAGTATTTCCTTAAGGCGCGTTTGGATGCAGAAATTAACCTGAATGATTCCTATAACACGCCAAGCTTGGTCTTTGAAGACGACAATTTTTTCATCTCCGGGATGGCGAGATCTGAGCTCTTCCCTAACAACGGGAGAACAGGCATTGTGCTCACTGGTCAATTGGTCAGCAGAGATTCCATTGTTCGGCCTATTAAGAACTCCGAGAACAGCCCTTTAACTTCTCCTTGACCGGAAATCCTCTTCCTAGTTCCAATGGAAGGAGCGTTGGAGCAGCGACTTTGATAGATCTATTACACCAATCTATGTATTATAGCTGCAATTTTGGTTCCACTGCCCTCTGCTCACAGCCACCAAAATCCACCAGGCATGGTAGAAAACCTAGCCAGCGTCGTCGGTCTCCCACCTTGTTTCGTTGGAAGCCTCGTGGTCCATGGCAATTGGAGGGGTCAAAACCCTAGCCTGTTTGCTTGCTTGTGTTGAGATAAGAGAAAAAAGCATACGGACGACATGATCTATTGGCGTACAGAAGAAGCTGGCGGGAGTACTGTTTTTAATTGACTGATTTACTGTTCCAATGTGGCTCCTATCTTTGTATATATAGAGATATCGTGGGATGACCAACGACCTTGCAGTGCTCCGTTCGAGAAAATGACGGTTCTTACTCCCCCTACCCCCCTCCCCCCTCAATTTCACCCCCAAATTTAGTTGACTTTGGAGTCATTTTTTTGACTCCAAAGTCAACAAAATCTGGGGTGCAATTCAAAGGGAGGGGG